TATGAAATACTTTTCTACACTCTGTTGTTCCTCAGGCAGGACGTAATTGAAATGCGTGTTGCCAAATTTCCAGAAATGTTCTAAACAAATAATATTGAAAGAAAGCAAGTATCTAGTAAAATTGAAGTGAACAGTATGTAATAAAGCCAACTACATGTGTGGCAGCAATGGCAATAATGAGTGTTCAGAGTAAATTATGGAAATTGTTCAAAATAATGTTTGTATTTTCAGTCTTTCAATATCTGGTTTCCTGGGACTTCAAAATTCTAGCTGCAGTCCATGATACCGTATGTAAAAAATGATGGAAATTATTTGTAGCAAAACAAATCTCACAAATAGAAAGGAATTGGCCACTGTACACCGAAAACCACACAATGCATACTGCTCCCTGTTACAAAACCGTGTTAAAAATAGCATGTGATTAGTATGAAAAATTAAACATGACCTCTAAATCTGCTTGCAAAACACTTTTCAGATGATATATTTCATTCTGAATGATGGTGCAAAATAACATTTGTTGCCAGTGATATGGAACAGCAGACTTGGTTAGTGAGAATAGCCAGTACCAACACAGCAAATAGAATCACAACATTGCCTAGCAAAGGTCATCTTCTCATATACGCTGTTTAATAACATTGAGGTGATGTGTTTGTAATTTTCTATATTATTATAATTGCTATTTATAAAGCTCCGACATATTCCAAAGCGGTTTACAATATTATTGTGGGAATTTAACAGCAAATAAGAGATAAATTATCACAAATATTACAGTTATTGACAATTCTGCTCAAACACAAGAATGTAAATATTTGACACACAAACAAAACACACGTGTGTGTGTGTGTGTGTATGTGTGTGTGTCTATTCAATTTCTAAATAGGATACATAATGGTGAAATGTCTATTCAAGGTAAATAATGCCATCAAGGAGCTCTGGGCACGTCATGATAAACCAAAGGTTTAGTGGTCTGTGATTGTATTCAAATATATTATTATTTATTATACATTCTTCAGCTTAATGTAGCTTGTATATTACATTATTTTATTTTATTTTTAAAAGAGTTATGCCTTGTTAAATCTTAGGGCAACAATGGGGCACAGATATCCCAGGCTACCCTAGACTAGTAGCATGTGTGGCTGCTGTTCTGAAAAGGAATCCACCACTGCTCTTTAAATTACACCATTGAATTAAACACTGAAAACACCTATAACTTTACCTTGCGTTAAATAGAACCTTTATACCTAAAAATACCAATCGTTATTTTGGTATCATAGGTTTCTTAACAGCTTTGTAATCGCTGACTCCCCCTTGCTCCAGAAAATTTTGTTAAAATTTTACTCAATCCCAGCATCGGGACTGCAGCTGTTACAGCCTCTAGCTCCTCCTCCAGTGATGTCAGCATCCTACCTGATTTCATGGCCTATCTCCTCCAATCCATTGCTTCTCATAGAGAAGGCATGTATGGCCAACGCCACACTCCTTCAATCAAATCACGAAGACAGCCACTAGAGGTGGATTTAATCCTGCAATCTAAACAATACAGTTTCTACTAAACTGCACTACTAAACTACCACTACACCAAGACCACTTCACTGAGGTGAAGTAATCTGCGTGACCTCAGCAATCCTATAAACAATTTTTAGTGACACTTTTAAGTGCATATTAAAGATATAACAATTGACATCACAACCCAGTACAGTCCTGACACAGACAGGACACACATTAAAGGGGAGAATTGTCAGAAGTTCAAAGTGAATTTAAATTTTAAGGTCAAAATAGCTGAGCACAACTGACTTGGATAATTTTCCACTTTGGCTGTCCTAACATTTAATTTGAAATTAACATTGAATTCACAACAGTTATCACGTTAGGGAGCAACCCTGAAAGTTTCTGTTTTCCTACTCTCTCTATGTTGACTGACAGGTGCAAAGGCCCGGGTTTAAAGCACCCCCCTCCCCCCCCAATATAAGATAAGATAAAATCTTTATTATCAAATTCTCACATTCACAAAACATTTTCCTTATCAGCCACCATGTTCGAGGCTTGAATCCGAAAGGAGATAAGCAGAGCTATATGTTGCTGGATTCGCCATATTGGGGTTAAACTGTCCTTTAACAGCCTAATCCCTGTTGTCAAGCTGGAGCCAGTGATATCCTTGTACCATAAAAACTTTATTCCATTGACATTGTTATGATGCCTGAAGTATTCCTTTAACTCCTGAATGGCAGAGAACTGAGCATTGAATCTGTAGGTGCATTATCAATACACCAAAACCACTTTATTAAAGAACCACTATAGTCACCCAGACCACTTCAGCTCAATGAAGTGGCCTGGGTGCCAGGTCCCCCAGGTTTCAACCCTTCAGATGTAAACACAGCAGTTTTAGAGAAACTGCTATGTTTACATTGCAGGGTTAACCCAGCCTCTTGTGGCTGTCCTCCTGACAGCCGCTTGAAGCGCTTCTGCGACGCTGAATGCAAAAATCACATTCAGCGTGCAGAACGTCCATAGGAAAGCATTGAGAAATGCTTTCCTATGGGCGTTTTTAATGCGCGCGTGGCTCTGGCCACGCATGCGCATTCCACTCCACTCGGGAGCTGACGTCAGAGTGGGAGGAGAGGTCACCAGCGCCAAAGGAGCCTGGTGCTGGATTAAAGTAACTGAAGGGGTTTTAACCTCTTCAGCGCTAAGGGAGGGGGGCCCTGAGGGTGAGACCTAAGGGTTATATAGTGTCAGGAAAACGAGTTTGTTTTCCTGACACTATAGTGATTCTTTAAGCTTAAGTTGTTTTTGTGCTTAGAGTATCCCTTTAACATCATTCAGCTACTTCACAAGGCAGTTGCCTGATATAAAAAAAATATATTAAGTACAGTGCTCCTCGAGACTACTAAGGGAGAGAGCATGGTGCATCCAAGAAGACTGTTAGGAGGGGGTGCGGGGAAAGAAAACTTTGCTGCATGCTCCTTTATTAGTTAGGTAGCATGGCAGGATCACATGCATATTTAGTATTAGACATCATCTGTTTACTAAAAAAACATTTTAGTTTAAGTCGTATTTCAGTCATCTGAATTGTTTTAGTTTTAGTCGACTCTGTGTCTCTGGGCCTCCTTGTCTCCTCCCAGTCCCTCTAGATGTCTCTCTCCCAAGCCCAGGACTGTCTCTTTTGCCCCTTGCTTTTGCCACTACCCTCTGTAGCTCTTTGCCCTCCTCCTAGACCCTCTGTGTGTCTCTTTCTCTCCATAAACCATCTGTGGGTCTCTTCCCCAGCACCTTGTCTCTTTCTCCCCCAGCCCCTCTATGTCGCTTTTTGTCCTCTCCATGCATCTCATCTCCCCTGCATGTCTCATTCCCCCAGCCGCCCATGTGTCTCAATTCTTTCCCAGCCCCTTCACCTGTCTCATTCTCCCAAAGCTGCTCCATGTGCTCTTTCCCCACCAGTCCCTCCATGTCTCTTTCTCTCAGTCCTGTCATATGTTTCCTTCTCCCAGCCCCCTATTTGTCTCATTCCCTGAGTCCCATTTATTTCAATCTCCGAGCCCTCCATGTGTCTCATTCCCTCAGCACCCCGTTTGTCTCATTTCTTCTCCTCCCTCCCTCATGTGTTTTACCCGCCAGTGTTAATTTTGACAGCAAATTTCAATATAGTTTTAGTCTAAAAAGCCATTTTAGTTTTTGTCGTATTTTAGTCATCTGAATTGGTTTAGTTTTAGTCTTGTTTTAATCTGACTAAAATTGTTAGGTGACAAAATTAACACTGCTGCCAATGCAGCATGTGCTTGCTTCTGGCTGTGCTTACACTGAGATCCTGGAGAGCGTAAGCAGCACGCTGTTCGTTGGTAGAGAGGAGGGGAAATAACATAAAAAGGCAGAGATAGGTCATGACTATCTCCAGCTCTCTTTTAGTGTAGGGGGTTATCATATTTTGCTTTGGGTTTAAGCCCCAGCTGTTTCTGGAACTAATAAAACCTCTGGATAGATAGAGAGAGACCAAGTCCACCCAAGATTGTGTTATTTCCCCATAAAACATGTTTCACCATTATATATCTTTTATATTACAATATATTTCTAGGTTAGTGTTAGTTTAACTATGATTGTAGTATATGGGTTAACAGGGTACTATAGTGGTTAATTAATGTTAGTTTAGTATGTAATTTAAGGGTTTAAATGCAATATAGTATAGTGTACCATATAATGTAAGGGCTGCAGTGTAGTGCGTTAAGGTAGTACCAGTGTGGACTGAGATTATTGGGAGTTACATTCCTGGGAGGCAGCATCTGGCTCTCAGAAGTAATGTAATCTCAAGCAGACCATGACATGTATTATTGCCTGCGAATGGGGCCCTCACACGGCACTGAAATCATATCACTGTCCACTTTAGTACAGGATTCTGAAACATAACAAGCACTTCTGCAACTCAATTCTAAAAGTGAAGCAGTCACTATGGAAACCAAAAGAAGGCTCCTACTGTTTGTTCAACTTTTAAAACTTTGCCCTAGACTTGTTTTATAATTAACCCCAAGTCTGTTTTCTTACTTTTTATTAATTATTTCCATTATAACACCCAAAAACCACTATGTGAGCCATGCATAACACCCAGGACCAACAGCCTGCAGCTTCCCACTCCATGATGTAGGAGTAAATAGATGCCCAGCCTCCACCCTCCCCTGCCTGTTCTCACCTATCCTCCAGATGGGGACCATCCCACAGCTCCCAATGCCTACTCTCCATCCCTCCAGGTACAGCTCCTAGCCTTCACCTGGTACACACTATTAGTTAAACAGAGCAAACTTTATTTTGCATAGTGTGACAGAGAGCCCAGTCTGCTCTTAGAACATGTGGGCAGCTGTACAAAAAAAAACTTCCACACCAGAAAGCAGGCTCACAGCTAGTGTAGGGCGAGCTCAATGCGACTGAGGGGTGCACATGCCCAACCCACACAGCCTAAAACTTCTCTAACAGCTTCCAGGACTCCCAGAACGCACACTTTAACGTAGAGAGCTCATTATTCCTTTCCATAAAACAGCATGCCGCTATTTAAGGACATATCTAACACGCCTGTGTTTTGCTGTTTACGATAACTGCAATCAAAACACCCCCTGTTTGCTCCTCCAATGGTTTGTTCCAGAGAGGATGGACCAGCTAGAGCAGCAGGAGAGAGAAGTAAGAGCCCTGTGTTCGGCGTGGAGCTGCTGCTTCCTGCGCTGTGCTGACTGCTGCTCCAGGAAGGTGATTGCTCCAGATTTACTATTTCCACACTGGGTATGTGCAAAGACTGGGTGTGACAGCCAATGTTTATTTCCTAGCCTCTCACGCTGTTAGAATGCTAAAGAAAAGCTGAGTGTTCTAACAAGTTACATTGTATTTCACTGGTGCAGTTGTTGAGCTCTGTTCTTTGCCTAATTCTCATGTAAAAGTCAGGAATGTGCTGTTTTTTTCTACTTTATTTCTTCTTGTACCCTCATTTGAGCAGGGAGCTCTTCACCTCTAAATATCATTTTTATATAAAAGAGCAGCAGGATATATTGGCGCCTATATAAATGCTATCATACACAGTACCAGTTCTTCACAGTGAGGGAGTGCTCTCTCTGCCTTGTGATAGTAAGATGTGTACTTCACTCCTGCTGTGTGAGACCCACTATGGCATGTTAACTGGTGTGGGGGGGGGGGGAGGGGTATTCCTTGGGAGATGATCAAAGGCGTGGATAATGTAACATGAAGCCTGAATTAACCTGATGACAAAGGCGGTGAGGGAGTCAAGGAAAAGCCAAAGAAGAATGACAAATGTTTTTCTGGGGGAGGGATTGCAAAGCTTGGATGAAGGAGTATTTTATCAATTTTTATTTTTAGTTCTCACCTTTCTTCATCTTTCCTCTCTTTTTTTTTTGTTTTAGGCATTTGTAAAAGAAAAGTGATTTTTTTTTTAAATAGAAGTGGATCTGGAGGAAAAGACTAAAAGAAAAAAAAAAAGAGTGAAGTGGTTGATGCTTTCTTCACACGAGGCTTCAACTTCAAAAACGTGTTTGGACACATTTGCCGGGAAAAGTTCTGTGGTTAGCATACTGCTACTATCTTGACTGGTTAATCTACTTTTGCTCCAGAATTTTTTTTAAAAAATAATTCAGTGTGAAAGCCCCAAAAGCCCTGGGTGTGAATTTTAAGGGCAAAGTCAGGGGAGATGATTTCCTCTGATCTGTTTAATGTCCTGCGACTCTGGAGGAGGGACAGGAGGGGACCTGGATTGGGTGGAGATGGAAAAAGTAAAAGAGGTGCCCTGCTGGTTCTTGTTTTGGTCCAGACTTTTGGCTCAGCTTGGTCCCAGCAACAGTCCACCTGCCCTACTTCCTGTGAATGTTCTGAGGCTGCCACGACTGTAAAATGTGTGAACAAGAATCTTGTAGAGTTGCCCCAAAATATTCCCTCTTACGTGAAGAATCTCTTTATTACAGGCAACAACATAAAACGCCTACAAAAAGAGGCATTCATGCAACCACAGCCTCTACTCGATCTAACCAACCTTAATCTCAGTGGGAACCACTTCCAAGAATTGGGTAATAATGTGTTCAGCAACCTACTCAGTCTGAGACATCTTGATCTCAGCCACAATATGTTGGAGAGAATGAGCAACTTTTCATTTCAATGGGGAGAGCATCGCAGCAACCCTCTGCAAGAACTGAACCTCAGCAATTCCTTTAGCAATGAAACGTTAATCTCTCAGTTCCAGGCATCCATGCAGAATGGAGCTTTAAACAACCTCCGCAGACTGGACCTGAGTGGGAACAATATATTCTATATGCCTGTGGGCACGTTCAGTTCATTGCCCAGCCTTAAACATCTTGACCTGAGTAACAATTCCCTGGTGAGTTTGCAGCCAGGGATTTTTACAAACCTGAGCCAGCTCCAGACTCTGGATCTTAGCAACAATGCTCTGAAGTGCCTGAAAAACTCCACGCTTTTTGATCTTCCTAACCAACCAGGCTTGTTAATCAACCTCAACAACAACAGCTGGGTATGTGACTGCCAGATTGAGGATTTTGCCAGATGGCTAAATAAGACTACAATAGTGGAGGGAGCATCCAGCCTCTTATGTTCCTTTCCGGACAAGATGAGAGACACACCGATTGTTGAGCTTAAATTCGCAGAAGTTGAATGTGTATCCGTTGATGACAACAACAGCCTGCAGACCTCCTATGTTTTCCTGGGCATCGTTCTAGCTCTTATTGGTGTAATCTTCCTGCTAGTTTTATATTTGAACAGGAAAGGCATCAAAAAGTGGATGTACAACATTAGAGATGCTTGCAGGGATCACATGGAGGGGTACCATTACAGATATGAGATCAATGCAGACCCCCGGTTAACAAACTTGAGTACAAACTCAGATGTATAAAAAGGCGAACATAAACTCTGTTATGATAAACAAAAAAAACTTATTTTCAAACAAGAGTAACACTTACACTAACTATGCATGAACCTTGTGTATAGACAATGCATCAAACCCTGTTTTTGCTCTCCTCTCTCCCTGCTGGAACACAAAAAAATGACACCATGCAGGGCTTTTGAATGCCTCTTTTTGACTGAAGTTTATTGCTGCATTCTAACTTTGTACTATAGAAGCTAAATCTCGTCGCATGCTGAATATCCATACACAAGAGACTTGACTCATTCTTTGCTTTTCTTATGTTGTGGGATTAATCCCTGGGGAAGGGATTTCAAAAGACAAAAAAAATAGTACAGGAGTTTTTTTTTTTCTTTGAGGTTTTTTTTTTCTATCTGATTCACATTTAAATTGGCTAGTACAAGCCATTGCCAACTCAGACTCCATTCAACGACAACTGCCTCAAATAGTTTAAAAAAATAAAATTGCATTTCTTTTCCCCTAAGATTTTTTTGTTGTTGTTTCCGTTGGACTTTGGATGCTCTGTCATGCTTCAAACTGTTATGTTGTTAGACAGCTAACCTTGTTTCAGAGCTCAGCATGAATAGCATAGGGATCATCCTATAATGAGCATGTAGAAGTATATTTGTTCATTTGAAAATCTAAATTGAGAACTCACACAATAATGCTTTTTGCACTCTTATTTTTTTTTGTAAAAAAAGAAAATGCAGTTTACATAAAAAGCAGGTTTTCAGTAAACTGCACAATTTTAATAATTACAAATTCAATAAAGACTATGTTACAATAATTTCTGTTGTGTTACATTTTTACATTATCCATGACAATATTTGCTCTAACCTGTTTATAATTTTGGAAGTATGTGCAGGAAACTATTTTGGATAGTGCCTATTAAATAGCTTAAAAGCGTTGTTACTGCTGAAGGAAAAATACACACACGTATACATATCTATATTTATTCCCTAGATCAGGATATGGGAAGAGTTGAGAAGAGAAATGAAAATTATAGACCCAAGCAGTCAAACTAGAAAACTATCTGAGTAAAGAATTGTCCTAGCTGTGCTATCGTGGACTAATATTTGCATTTCCTTTCTCGATTCTCAACAATGCCTGTTTATTTCAACAAACCCCAATTGTGTTCCCCCCCCCCAATCTCTGATTGTAACAAATAATTTATTTAATCATTATTGTGTACAAAATACCTCTCTTGTAGCTTTTTTACTAAAATGTGAAATCTTTCATTTGCATGTCTAATACATTTTTAAAATGCTCCCAATTATGCAAGGGTCAGTGCATGTATATTTTAACTCATCTCTGATACGTTTTATTTTAAGGGATCAATATCTCCTGTGCTGTGTGAAATCATTTTGTGAAAAGTGGATTTCGGACAAAATGTATTTCAGCAATAGCTATCTTTTTATTTTATTTTTTTCTTAAACTTGTCTTAAAGCAAATATTTTGAAAATGCCCTTTAAAGTCATATGTCAAAATGAATGTGTAATTAAATTATTTTTTTTATTTCGATTTGGAACATACACTTTTCTATTTCTATATACGGTATGTTGTTTCGTAGCTATATATATAAATATGTCTATAAATATTTAGCGACTGTGTAAGATAAAATGAATTATATTGTACCAAAGTACTCATTCTTTGGGTAGCTACATCACTATAGCTATTTTACATGTATATTTGAATGTTGAATTATACTTTGCATATTATAGTGTCTTATTAACAATTTAAGTGCCAGGAATACGGGCAAATCGCTCACTACCAAGTTGGCACTCAGGGTTAAATTACTGCCCCATACACAAACAGAAACATTTATTTTGTAAATGGTATTGGTAAATGGTAATTGTATATAGTTCTACACAAATAAATTGCAAACTATGGTATTAAACTCCATCAGTTTATAGTGCATTTAAATATCTGACTGTACACATACTATTAGGTATAGTAATTAAATAAACTTAAAATAAATGAACAAACCGATGATATGTCACATTTCCATTTAAGTATTATTTAAGCATACAGGGCTTAGCACGTGATGAGTATTGAAGTAAAGTATTGGTTCTACATGCAAGTCTAATGTATTTAGTGCATAAAGAGGTTGTGTTCACACTCTGATGTAAGAGGGTTCATAAAAAAAAAAACTTTCCATTTATGTTTTGCCATTCATAATGTGAAGTGTAAAATTCAAGGGAAAGTCATTCCTCATCGTCTGTTTTACATCATCTCTTGTCAGAATTTGTTAATATGATTTATGTCAGAGAACCATTTTACAAGGAACCTAGATCTCCAGTCATTTATAAAAGTACTACTTTCTTTTCTAAATTGTAGGTATTTGCATATCTTTTATTGCAGTATGTTTATGTTGTATACTGAAGGTACGGCTCTTAAAAAGTGAGAGGGATGCCAAACTGTTGTTTTATGACTTGTACACATATTGTGCTTTAATTTTAACAAAATTACCCCTTTTTGTACACTTGGGAATCACATTTATATTTGTAGAAAATATGTTTGAAGTTTTTTTATTTTCAATTTATTTCATAATTGTCACTCCAAATAATGTGTTAGTTATTTTCTGGAATATGACAGGTTAATGTGAATATACTAAGAAAGAACAAATGCAGTTCGGACAAAATGTCCCTAATTTGAATTGTGCTCAAAATTGTTTTTGTACTGAAAAGAGTGTGATTATGTATCTATAAATGGTAATTTTATATCCATTCCCCCCCCTCCCCCCAATTTTTTTTTAGTGTTTAGTGTGACTCATCTTTCTCATGTTTTCCTGGATCTGATCATTTAGGAGTTTATTCACTAAAATGTTATAGTGAATAAAAAACATATTCTACAAACAAGGCTAAAATAACTGACTGTTGGTATTTATTTGTATATCAGAATTTTTGGCTAAATTGTACAGTTTTGCTTTACATTCTCTACGTTATATTAGTGTTTAGTGAATAAACCCTTTAATGATGGTACACTATTTTATATGGTCAATATATCTTCTGCCCAAACTTAATTTAGAAGCAAAAAAAAAAACGACTGGGAAACTTCAGAAATCAATTTTTAATAAGGGAAGTTGCAATTGCAAATAAATAATTTTATGTTTGAAAGCACTATTTCTTGTAGTAAACAATAAAAAAGTGGAAGTATATAGACATATATACACCTTTCAGAATGTTTGATTTAACTGTAAGTCAATGTTCCTTTATTTATGTATATGTATATATATGTACTTGCTGGGACTTCGTTAAAGTGTGAAAGTCCTATCACGATAGAGGTAAATGGTATGATGTCGATAAGGTGTCTATCAGGGATAATTTATAAAGATAGAACATCTTTTCATTCTTTATTCCATCGAGAATTCAACGTGAATTCAAGTTTAATCCAAAATAGTTAAACTGAAAACATAACCGACTTGGTGAACTTTTCTGATTTAGCTAGTTTGGTCTAGAATTTCAAATTTGAGTTCACTTTGTGTTCCTGTCAGTTTACTCATTCCTGAATAATCCTGTCAGAAATCCAATCAAACATTTGTATTTTTGTTACAATTGTTTGCCTCAATGAGTAACTTTTTATTTTAATTTTTATGGTTAAACAGGATTGCGCATTAGTCTAGAAATATAAGAGTTGTGAGGTTGTAGTTTAATTATTGAACACCGTTACTCTTATGTTTAGACTAAAGGGTTTAATCACTTAACTCTGTAGCAGCCAGTTAAAATCCAAATGGCTAAATTTGGTGATGGCAGCTTTACAGAGGAATTTCTCAACATCACTTATTTTTGCTTGAATTTTGACATTTAGATTTTCTCTCACTACAATTCAGAGTTTAGGGAATAACTCTTAGAATTTTTTAGTTATGCAATTAAAGGACCACTCTAGGCACACAGACCACTTCAGCTTAATGAAGTGGTCTGGGTGCCAGGTCCTTCTAGGGTTCTAGAGAAACTGCTAGGTTTATGAATGGGATAAGCCTTCCCCCTAATCCTCTAGTGGCTGTCTCATTGACAGCCGATAGAGGCGCTTGCGTGCTTCTCACTGTGATTTTCACAGTGAGAGCACGCCAGCGTCCATAGGAAAGCATTGTAAATGCTTTCCTATGCGACGGGCTGAATGCGCGCGCAGCTCTTGCCGCGCGTGCGCATTCAGCCCAGGAGGAGGAACAGAGGAGGAGAGAAGGAGGAGAGCTCCCCGCCCAGCGCTGGAAGTTTTTACCCCTTTACCCCTTCCAGAGCCGGGCGGGAGGGGGTCCCTGAGGGTGGGGGCACCCTCAGGGCACTATAGTGCCAGGAAAACGAGTATGTTTTCCTGGCACTATAGTGGTCCTTTAATGAAAATCGTGTGAAGCAATGGAATTTTGAAGATGCCCTTTTTTTCCTCAAGCCAGATAACATAGTGCTTTTCTTAGCACCATGTCCTGTGCTGAAAAGAGACTCTGAACAATGCAAGAAAATCCACTTAATCATTTAGTTCATCTAACTTCTACAAGACCCATGTGACCTGATATGTTAGGTTTAATTTTAGTAGTAATTAAATTTAACACCACAAAATAATCAATCATATCACTGCCACATACAAAAGAGAATTTGCGTCTCGTATTGTTGGCTGAAAACATTTGCAATTGACGCATTTTATTAAGAAATCAAAAGGTATAAAATGTCAAATATCCAATTTCACACAATGCAGCTTATTTTTCTTATAATGCTACAGTGGACCCAGTCGGGTAAAACTTCTACATGAACAATTTTGTCTCTATTATAAATAGGCAGTTATTTGCCTTGTGGCGGTAAGTTTTGCAGCAATTTTTAACAAAACTGCACAATGTCAAACTGTAAAAAGCCTTGAGAAGAGAAATTGGAAGCTCCTATACTTCCCTAATAAAGTCTTTCAGCTCTTCATCGATTGTAACTCCCATAAAACTTTACAGCCCGTAGCACAGCAAGTGGATGTTTTAGTGGACTGCAACTCCTTTAATTCTTTGCAGCCAAAAAGGATCCTGATAACGCTGCAAGACACAGTGAATTTACTCCAAAGTAAATTTAGAGTTGTCTGCTAACAGCTGGAGACCTGGCATTTAAAGGGACACTATAGTCACCTGAACAACTTTAGCTTAATGAAGCAGTTTGGGTGTGTAGAACATGCCGCTGCAGCCTCACTGCTCAATCCTCTGCCATTTAGGAGTTAAATCCCTTTGTTTATGAACCCTAGTCACACCTCCCTGCATGTGACTTGCACAGCCTTCCATGAACACTTCCTGTAAAGAGAGCCCTATTTAGGCTTTCTTTATTGCAAGTTCTGTTTAATTAAGATTTTCTTATCCCCTGCTATGTTAATAGCTTGCTAGACCCTGCAAGAGCCTCCTGTATGTGATTAAAGTTCAATTTAGAGATTGAGATACAATTATTTAAGGTAAATTACATCTGTTTGAAAGTGAAACCAGTTTTTTTTCATGCAGGCTCTGTCAATCATAGCCAGGGGAGGTGTGGCTAGGGCTGCATAAACAGAAACAAAGTGATTTAACTCCTAAATGACAGAGAATTGAGCAGTGAAATTGCAGGGGAATGATCTATACACTAAAACTGCTTTATTTAGCTAAAGTAATTTAGGTGACTATAGTGTTCCTTTAACTGAGAAGTTTACATTTTTTTGTTTTAGTGCAAGAAGTATATTAACCAGAACTGGCAGACATGTATTTGCTAAATATGTGAAACATATACATAGTCTCCATAAACCAACACATGAAATCTCAACAACTTTTTACTTTAGAGAAACCATTCACATTCATTGAATTACTAAGAAACATAGCAGCAAGTTCAAGCCACTTCCCAGCCAGAAAGCTAGTCACCTTATTAGCCAAAAGAGTGAAATGTATGTAAATGTTCTATACTTTGGAAAAAAATAATAAAACATTTGCTATAGACTGCTTTCACATAAAGTAGGTGGTACAATAGGTCAATTGATGTGTTGCTCACAATGGACTGACAGTGACCCATGTATATACTATGTGACCTTTCCTAGGTTGCCTTAATTGCTTTCTGACAGGCAATCCAATACATCAATCAAACCACTTGAAACATCATTTCATGTTTTTCCAAGGGAAAAAAACCCTGTGTGTTAAGGAGTTGTTGTTTTTTTAAGTTTAAAAGAAAAAGTGAAGTAATTTCAAACATTCCCTCTCATCAAATTTAGACAAAAACAAAAAACAAACCTAATACTTTCTCATCAGCTTTTTTACTAGTTTTCACCTTGCAGAGAAACATTTATCAGCTTAGCATTCTTTCCCTCTGTATTATTGCAGACATAAATGGAGCTTCCCTCTATATTATGTGGCAAAAAAGTCAAACATAATAGTTCCATTCGTGTATCATGGGATGGGCAGGATGCGAGGAAGAGCACAGAGCATACTATAACATTTTATCTATCCACTAAACACTTAATTGATGTGCATTGAATACTATATTGCAAAATTGTAACTTAAAATAGCCAAGCTTAGTCTACAGCTGAACTTGAGAATTTTCCAAATCAGATTTTCTTGGTACTACAAATTAGCATTTAGTGATTAAACCCCTAGGCAAAATTACCTTGTTTGAAAAAAATCACAGTTTAATTAATTTACCAAGATGTCCCCTCGACCACTAAGATGCCACACCAATCAACTGGCTCTCATTCTGGTCTATGATTAAAAATACATAAAATACCTTACTATAACCTAACCTACACTTTAAAGGGATTCTATTAGACATCAAACATTTTTGCTTAATGAAGCAGTAATGCCCCTTCAGTCTCACTGCTCAATTCTCTAACATTTAGGAGTTAAATCACTTTTCTTTTTATGCAACCCTGGCTGTGACTTACACAGCCTGCATGAATAATGGTTTTATTTTTCAATCAGATGTTAACTGGTTTTAGAAGTCTTATCCCTTGCTCTGTAAATTGAACTTTAATCACACACTGGAGGCTCTTTCAGGCTCTAGAAGGCTATTAATACTGCAGGAGATAGGAATTTCTAGATTAAACTAACTACAATAAAGGAACCTACAATATCTAGGTTCCTTTTCACAAAGTGTTTAGAAAGACTGCAAGGTGCATGCATGGATCGGTGACTAGGGCTGTATAAATAAAATGATTTAACTCCTAAGTGGCAAAGAACTGAGCAGTGAGACAGCAGGGGCATGATCGCTACACCAAAATTGCTTTATTAAGTTAAAGTTGTTTTGCTGACTATAGTAATGTCACGTATTCATCCGCACATAAAAATGTGGTTAACGGCATTTACTGTCCTGACAGGAAAAGTTGTGCCGAGCAACATTACCATCCTGACAGGAAAAGTTTTGCCGAGCAGCAAACATGTACATGGAAACCTGGTAATTACCTTTCAGGTCAAAGGCCGGTCACAGCCAATCAAATCCACAGGAGGGTTTGTGCTGAGCAGCAATCATGCACATGGAAACCTGGTAATTGCCTTTGGGGTCAAAGACCAGTTACAGCCAATCTGATTCAAAGGAGTGTTATTTAAACGCAATTCTCCTCTTGCTCATTGCCCTGTTGTGGTTTCATGCCTATGGTTATTCGAGAGTGCGTTCCTGATTTTTATTTTATGGTATTTGACTTTGACTTTGTTATGACTTCCCTGATATCCTTGATCCTCATCTTTGTGTCTGATTCTGTGTCCCTGACCTCAGCAAATATTTTGACTATTCTTGGAGATGTTAAGTCCGGCCACTCTAAGGTCCGTTTATACGTTATCCTTAGTCCTAGGTGTGACACAGTACTGCGTGCTGGTTCAACTTGTAATCCCTTTAACGTGCGTGGAAGAATAGAGTAACTTTTTTCTCCCTCTTTAGTGAAATTTTTCTACCAAATAATACATTTTGTGCTCTGTACTCTCCTATCATCAGGCAACAGACCAACACCAGCAGGCACCTTCCCACTGATGGGTGTAGTCAGAGTTGTCAGTCAATGTAGCTTTTCTAGCCTGTGAGATATACTTTATATACTTTATATAACATTCATTGCAATTTGTATTACTTCTAAAATTGTTTTAAAGGGACACTATAGTCACCCAGACCACTTCAGCTCAATTAAGTGGTCTGGGGGCAATGTCCAACAGGTTTTAACCCTTCACATGTAAACGTACATTGCAGGGTTAATCCAGCCTCTAGTGGCTGTCCTCCTGACAGCCGCTTGAGGCGCTTCTGCCACGCTGAATGCAAAAATCACATTCAGCGTGCAGAACGTCCATAGGAAAGCATTATGCTTCCATATGAATTAAGAGTATAAGTATCTTACAGGTGCTGCTATTCAAACACCCTTGATTCATTGATCATCAGCAAGTATGACCACCTCTATAAAGCCCATGCTTTAGCAGTTTGCTGGCCATTTCATAGATTCTAGATAATTGCCAGTCTTACCAGGAGTGGACATCACAGAAAATGCACCACAAGGTCAGACCACTCAATGCTCAGAGAAATTGCAAAAAAAAAAAAAAAAACAAGTTACATCTCAGACTTTATAGGTCTCAGTTAGCATGTTAAAGTTCATGACAGTACAATTAGAAAAGGACTGAAAGTGTGTTTTTTGGAAAGGTTGCCAGGAGAAAGCCTCTTCTCTCTACATGGCAGCACGTCTTAGGTTTGCAAAGTTGCATCTGAACAAACCACAAGACAATGTCCAAAGTACCACAGACGAGACTAGAGTAAAAATGTTTGGCCATAATGCACAGCAACTCATACAGGCACAAACACCTCATACCAACTGTCAAGCATGGTGGTGGAGGGGCGATGATTTGGGCTTTTTTTGCAGCCACAAAACCTCTGAACTTTGCAGTCATTGACTCGAGCGTGAACTTCTCTGTATTCTAGAGTCAAATGTGAGGCTATCTGTCCGCCAGTTCAAGCTTGGCTTACATTTGGTGATGCAACAGGACAATGATTTCAAGCACACCAGTAAATTTCCAACAGAATGACTGAAAAAGAATCAAGGTGTTGCAATGGCCCAGTCAAAGTCCAGACCTCAACCCAATTGAAATGCCGTTGCGGTACCTTAAGAGAGCTGTGCATAAACAAATGCCAGCAGACCTCAACTGAAGCAACATTGTAAAGAATATTGGGCCAAAATTCCTCCACAATGATGTGAAAGACTGATAACGTCATACAAAAAATGATTACTAAACGTGGTTCTACAAATTATTGAATCATAAGGTGTACTTAGTTTTATAGAAATGGCTTCTCCATTTTGACTTTATCTTTGCTAAGAAAAAAAAAATCATGTAAATGGCATGTGTTGCTGTTCATTCGAGGTTGTATTTGTCTAATTTCAAGGCCTGCTAAGGAACAGATGATTATGTCCTGATATGTAAAACCATAGCATTTAAAGAGGGTGTGCTTTCTTTTTCTCACAACTATACATTCAATAAACACTACACACAAATGCATGCCTTAGCACACTAACACTACATACAAGCACACTCCTACATTCAAAAGCAAACACCACACACAAGTACACCACTGCTTAAAAATGGCAACAGTACACACGAATACATCCCTACATTCACACACACACACACACACCATAAAAACACTATACACAAATACACCCTTACTTTCTCTCTTTCACACACACACACACTACAAAAACATGCTTACAAGTTGCAAACAATGCTGCTCAGCTCTAAATAATATCTTACATTGATTGGCAAATGGCCTCTACTTCTTGGTCATTCTTGCACCAGGGCTTTCTCTAAGTTAAAATATGTACAAAGCATCAGCGCTAATATACTAGATCTTACAGAGATAAATATAAGGCAGCACACCTGAACAATAGGGCTCCCTCACAGGCCCTATAGAGTAGACAAAACTAAAAAAGATGAAGGGGAGGCGGCTGTGGCCTTCACCTTTTCTAGCTTTCTCTAAGTTAGTTATGCCACTGACTGCTAGTTTGCATCTTCTGTAGAGAGTGCTATGCGAGATATACTTATTGGATGTTCTTACTTCTCAGTGTTGTCAAATTCTTCATCTGCCAGGAGCTGCATTGCTAATATACTCTAACACATGCTTGACAATACAAAATGTGGGTCTATGGAAAATGTGTAATAAAGTTCCTTAGTTTGACCAAACAGGAGATAAATGCGGTCATTCACTAAACACAAAATATTTTATACATCAAAGTTAAGCCAGAGGCTGCTTTCCAGAATTTAGATATTGCTAAATCATGTGAACAAAATCTGGATTTTGCAATCTGAATGCCCAGATAGTTTCTGCTTATTGCTGCTTGTCCAGATCGGGGACATTAAGACTTCATAAAATAACCCAGAAGTAATCCCCATTTTAATACATGTATATATTCTGATTGAGTGCAAAGAACACCACTCACAATTACATTCCATAATTAGTAAAAAATAATGTGAAATTAGAGAAATGTTGCATATTGTTGGTCAGAAATATTATGGGCAGGGCTGGTGCTTCCATTAGGCCAAATAAGCAGTAGCCTTTCACAATATTTAGGAGGGGCTGCCCCTGCCAACTGTACTGCATGTATGGGCCACACTCCTATTCCATTATGATTAAAGCTAGTAGCATCAGGGTCTTCTGCCCTCCCGGAAACCATGCACACTCGGGAAAATGGCCTGAAAGGAAGGCAGAGCATGGGTAAAGGGTCCATGTCCTACTGCTTCTGCTTTGGAGGAGTCACACGTTTTCATATGGAGACAGATTTGGATGCTGCATGTGAAGAAGTAAATAAAAGTTTAACATGTTACAAGACATAAGGTATATTAATTGTGGTGTCCTGTATTTGTAAGTCACTGGGTTAAAAGGGAGTACCATAGCAGAGCCATCCCAACATGTTCCATGCATCCTGGGCACTAAATTGCTATCTTACATTTGTCTGCATGACCTGAGCAGGGCAAAACTTTGGGGTATCACAGCCCTAACCAGCTAAATCCATCTTTCAGTGGTATTGATACTAGTGGAAATATAATAGTATATTTCAATGCATTGCAAAACTAGATTCAGGAGGAATGCAAGCCCATGCTGAGTAGACTCAGGCCAATGAAGTTATGGCGTGGAGGGCATCAGTAGCCATGATTTTTTTTTTTTTTTTACATGTTCCCCTGCTTTACTAAGCAGACTCATTTTTAGCCTGTTTTCATTTTGTATGTGTGTTTGTCTATGTTTGTAGGCATATTGGTAATATATGTCTATGTGTTTGTCTATACGTGTATGTATGTATGTTTGAATGCCTGCATGTGGCTATTTGTGCATTATGTATGTCTGTATGTATTTAGTTATGAATGTTTGTAAGTATGTGGGTTAGCTTAGCTATGTATGTGTGTATTTAACTATTTGGGTATTTTAGTACATAAGTATGGGTTTGTGTTGGACTTTTTGAGATGGAAAGATACCAAAACAGATGGTTTTGAGAGTTCTGTTCACAAGATTGCAATTGCAAACGAAAAAAACAAATCCGACACAAAGTGAATATAAGAATGAATATCATACCAAATAGCTGAAAAGAGAATAATGTCTTGACTGCAATGTAGATATTCTTGGACTATGAGTTCATTGATTAATTTAATGTGATTGTGTGATTGTAGGACTGTTCTAAAAACATGGAGCTACCTGGCAGCTCAAGGGAAATATTGGAAGTGGTAAAAGAAAGGTTTGGAAGATATAAAATACAGGCATACTTGGTAGTAAGGGAAGAGACATAGGCCTCATTCTCATACGTTTTCCAAATGATGATGTTAGAAAAACTTTCCAAATAATTTATCTGAGAAAGGTTCCATGGACTTTACTGGTGACTTCTGTAGTTAAATCATTTGGAAAGTTTTTCTAACAGTATTTAATTATAAAGAAAGCTTACTAAATGAAGGCTGTAATATGAGACATAATAGGTAGGTTTGGATACATTTCCTTCTGTGTAATTATATTCTACTTAAACTATAACTATTCTGCTCCGTTGGGATATACATGTTTACAAATCTTCCCAGAATGCATTATGTGTGCCTTAAGAATGGGGGGGAGGAGGGGGAGTGTATTTATTTCTGGGTTTCAGCCATGGGTGTTATGGGAGCATATGAGTTTGTGCACATAGTCCTTTACATTTGCTAGGAAGAAAATTTCAGACAGCCAACACATTTGGATCTACCTTGTGTAAAGGCAATCTGATGAAAAGGTATAAATTAGACAGGGGTAGATTGTTATATTGTGGATGCTGTGTTTAAGTGAGAAGCTATTGCATAACATGAATTTGCTTCACAAAAAATAATTGAAGATTATGCTAGCTTTAGTGTATAGTGATGTCCCGAACGGTTCGCCGAACGGTTCGCGAACGGTTCACCACGGACTCATCATTGAGTAAACTTTGACCCTGTACCTCACAGTCAGCAGACACATTCCAGCCAATCAGCAGCAGACCCTCCCTCCCAGACCCTCCCACCTCCTGGACAGCATCCATTGTGAAGCTGCATTCTTAGTGAGCTGTCCAGGAGGTGGAGGGTCTGGGAGGGAGGGTCTGCTGCTGATTGGCTGGAATGTGTCTGCTGACTGTGAGGTACATGGTCAAAGTTTACTCAATGATGAGTCCGTGGCGAACCGTTCGTGACATCACTATTAGTGTACCTATAATCTTAATTTTAATAATGACAGGAAGCGAATATTTGCATTAACTTTCTTTACTAACTCTATAGCAGCAAAGAAAAAAGACCAAGAAATAAAGAACCAATCAGAATGTCCAACTGCGACATCACCAGTCTATAGGAAGCAGGAAACATAGAACAACAGTCCAACATCAGGTTTGAAACCAACAAGGCAAACTAATTCTTTCCATAATCCATGATGAGGACTTAAACTTTCTCCAGAAACGATTTGAACTGAAGAGGGCGTGTGATAGGTCGTTTGTCCAACAGTAGGCAACTTGTGAAGCATGTAACCTGGCTGAGCTATGCTAGGCATGTAAAAGTACAATAAGCGATAATCCAGAAGAAAAAACTCATCTAATGTAACTAACTAAATACGCCAATAAATCAGAACCCCAACATATTATGATTTAGCCAAACATTGGAGACTGATAACCCAGTCCCAGAATATGAGGGACACACTGACGATAGAGTAAGGATACAATGGAAAACATAGAGCAAAGGGGGAAACTGAGAAGAAGGTTGGGAAATATTCACCTCCTGTCATTATTAAAATTAAGATTATAGGTACACTAAAGCTAGCATAATCTTCAATTTTACAACATGACAGGAGGCTTCATATTGGCAATTTAAATGCTGAGATAGAAGTGAAAAAGCTATGTTAGATGGCGATAAGGTAGTGGCCAAGACTGGGCCATGAGGGCGAACATAGGACATGAGTAGCTGACTTGATGTAGAGGGCCACAGCATCGCGGTGGCCTCAACATAGGACCTAAGCGCCGCAACGACACAGAGTTATGGGTCAGCAGGGAATAACAGGTAGAAGACCAAGACCGAGTCCAACTTTGTGCGGCGGGAAACACGAAAGGTAACTCCTTTGGGGAAAAAGAGAACATGTCCACATCGAAAGCACGCACGTCTTAAACTGTCCGAAACTAGACCAAGCAAAGAAGGATGGTAAACTTCGCCGTGAGTTGACACAGTGAGAGTTTATCATTTTCCGGCCATTTGCGTAAAAACCATAGCACCATGCCAACGTCCCAGAGCTGGGTATATTTAGGGCCATGAGGGCGTTGTAGTCGGATCCCGCAGAGCAATTGGCAAACCTAAGGGTCCTGGCCCACCAGCGTCCCTTGTAACGGAACATGGGCACTGTGATGGCCAACCAGACCACGTTAATAGAGCGATAAGACTTCCCAGAGGGAAAAAGAGATGATAGGAAGTTAAGAATCGCTGAAATAGGCGGTGTAAAGGGATCGAGGTTTGCGTCCCATACACCGACTGGACCAAGACTGCCAGATGGAAAGGTAACATTTCCTTGTCACCAGGCGCCCACGAGACCCACAGCAGATCCTTAGCCATTTGCGATAGGTCTCCAGTGCGCCAGGAAGCCCGGAAACACTCCAAGCCACTAGGATGAGCCGGCCGTATAGGATGTGGTTCCCCGCTCGGATTCCTGAGAAGTGTCTGTTCGTCTGGCAGAAGTAGGGGATCTTCGTGGGACAGTTCCAGAAGGTTGGGGAACCATGGTTGACTCTGCCACAGCGGTGCGAGGAGGAGAATCGCCACTCATTGGAGGCAGGTCTGGTGTCACCCCCAGTTATGCCAACACCTAGATGCGCAGATGGGAAGATTTAACAGTGTGGGTTGGTCATGACTGGAGGGAGATATCGATGATGTTATTATTATTTATTTCAATCATTTGAGAATTATTTAAATCAAAATGAATATAATCTAAAGTTTACCTCCACATGGAATCAAAAAGAAATTAACTTTTTGGATTTGTCTCTGATATGTGAGAACAATCAGATTAGAACAAAGTGCTTCTTTAAACCAAGTGATGGCAATGGATATGTTCATCGGCAAAGTTGCCACCATCGTCCCTGGCTTAGAGGGATAGCTAAGGGACAATTTGCTAGGGTGAGAAGAAATTGCTCACAAGTTCAGGATTTTATAACACAATCCAATCATATTAAGAATAAATTGGTGGAAAGAGGTTATAAGAAGAACACACTTGATAGGGAAATTCGTATAGCTCTACAGACCGACAGGGGGAATTATCTGATGGACAAGCCCCGTGCCAAACCCTACCAGGAGAATATAACTGCCTTTAGAACTCAGTATTGTACAAACCATACTAAAATTAGGAGGAGTTTACAGAAACACTGGTCGATTCTCCAACAGGATCCTGTACTTAATCCTATTTTACCGGATCAGCCTAAACTTATTTTTAGAAAAAATCAGAATTTTAAGAACACTTTGGCACCTAGTTATGCCATAAAAAATCTTGAGGGTAACCGAAAACCTGTTGATAATAATTCCTTTAGAGGTTGTAACTCTTGTAAAGCTTGCCATCAGGGCCAGATTAAGAGCCCAGTGGGCCTGGTGCTGACAATTATGACGGGCCTAATTACAGAATCATATTGACCAAAAAACAGTTAAACACTCCCAAGCGTCATGTATCTGATGGAGATGGTGTTGGAGAGAAAGAAAACAGCAGCTATAAGAAAACACATACCCTAGGCTAATGTCACACTAATTTATGTTTTCATCTTTCAAGTAAATCCATAACCCCTAACAGCAGTGTCCAGTCAAGCAGGAAGTCAATGGGCACGGTAAAAGGGTGTGCCACTGACACAAATCACGTAACCTGCCAAAAGGGGCGAACATGCCCAAAAAGAGGATATGTCTGCCTAAAGAATTAGAAGGCCAGCCTGGTATGAATGCAGGTCAGGCTGCCTGCCAATCATGCAGCTGGCGAACTAAGGGCATACTATGCAGACAGCACCCTGAGCTTGGCATAATTGCATCTAATGATGCGCTCGCTCAACGCTTTCTAAGGACTGTCCCCTAGCACTCGCTGGTCCACTTGTCTCCTTACCTTCTTACTAGCAGGCAGAAGCTCCTGGTATATAGTCTAGGACAGAGACAAGCTGTATGTAGTGAGTGTAGAAGAAAGGGAACATGCCACAGTGTTAGAGAGACCAAAGTCAGCATTACCTTAAAGGATCACCATAGGGTCAGGAACACAAACATGAATTCATGACCCTATAGTATTAACACCACCATCTAGCCCCCCTGGGCCCCTCATGCCTCCATAAATATAGCAAAATCTTACTGTATTCAAGCCTGAAGCTGTAACTCTGCATGCTGTCAGACTCAGAAAAACAAGCAGTCTGCTGACATCATTAGAAGTGGTGGCCTAATCCAATCACAGTGCTTCCCCATAGGATTGGCTGAGACTGACAAAGAGGCAGATCAGGGGCAGAACCAGCATGATTCAAACACAGCCCTGGCCAATCAGCATCTCCTCATAGAGCATCTCCTCATAGAATTGAATCAATGAAACACTATGAGGAAAGTTCAGTGTCTGCATGCAGAGCGAGGAGACACTGAATGTTTGGATGCATTTTAGGCAGCTATGACCCAGGAAGAATCTCTAAAAGCCATCTAAGGAGTGGCCAGTGAAGTTATCACTAGGCTGTAATGTAAAGACTGCATTTTCTGTGAAAAGACAGTGTTTACAGCAAAAAGCCTGACGGTAATGATTCTACTCACCAGAACAAATTCAATAAGCTGTAGTTGTTCTGGTGACTCTAGTGTCCCTTTAACTATATTCATTGTCAGCCAGTCCACACAAGTTTTGTTCCCATACATCCCTCTTAAGTTTCCATACTTAAGTAAGAGTATGTGAAAAGTAGTTAGGGTTGCCACCTTTCTTGGAAAAACATACTGGCCTTGCTAATTTGCATAATTAAATATGTATGGGTGACTTTACATGATGTAAATCACAAGGAGTGACATAAGAGAAAATGTTTTGATATTATTACTACTTAGTTTGATTCTGCTGTATAGATGGATTCCTCCCAGTGGCCCCATGTCTCCCAGTGCCCCCATGTGTCGGTTACTCCAGGTCTCAGTGTTCCTATGTATCAGTGCCCCATGTCTCCCAGTGTCCCCTAGTGTCGTGTCCCCTGGTCTCCCAGTGATCCTATGTATCACAGTGTCTCAATGCCACATGTCTCCCTGTGTCCCCATGTATCCCAGGGTCCTCATGTCACTAGGAAGACGTTAAGGCCTGGGGACACGGGGAGACACCAGTGACACTGGGAGACTAGGGGACTCTGGCTGGGATGCATGGGGACACTGGGAAAATAGGGGACACTTGAAGACATGGGGACACAGACACCAGGGACACAGACACTAGAGACACTGGCTGGGGACATGGGGACATTGAGACATGGGGGCACTGGGAGACATGGGGACAAGGAGACACCAGGGCCACAGACACTAGGGACACTAGCATGGAGACATGGGGACATTGAGACACTTGAGGCACTAGGAGACATGGAGGCACTAGGAGACATGGGGACAGTGAGACACTGGCAGACTGGGGGCACTGGGAGACTATGGGGCACTGAGACACCAGGGACACTTGCTGGGAGACATGGGGACACTGGGAGACATGGGGACACTGTGTCCCCATGTGTCTGTGTCATAATGTCTCCCAATGTCCATTAGTGTCTCAGTGTCTGCCATAATGTCTCCCAGTGTCCCTTAGTGTCTCAGTGTATGTCTCCTTGCAGCCTTTCCCCCATCCCTTACTTCCCTGAGCTGTAGGCTGTCTCTGCAGGGTGGGAGTTGCTGTCTGGACTCTCTGTAGCTGCACCCCTGCAAATCAGTGAGTATAGATAGGCAGGGAGAGATATGCTGGAACTTCCTATCCCTGCCTGTCTCCACACACAGTGACCCCTACTGGCCAGTGCTGGTATTGCATAGTAATCTCTTGTTTATACTGCGAAAAATACCAGCATTTGTATTGCCAGTATCACTGTAATATTGGCACCAGCCAGGCAGCCTCAAATACTGCCTGTGCCAATAAAATAAAAGCCAGGTGGAATACCT